GCTCGCACGCTCACTCGCGTGCACACTTACTACCACCCACCACCACTACTACTACTACTACTACTACTACTAGTAGTATTGTTCGTTTTTAAAGCGCATATAAGCAAGAAAGTAAAGCCATACTTGTTCTTATCGGATTCGCCAGATCTAGGAAACGAACCCCCGTGTAGGAATGGTTTATCTCGGTACGACGATTTCTCTATGCTCCGTGTTTGTGCCTTCATGCAATTTTTTTTCGATCGCGTGTCGATACAAACAACAGTTCTCCTACTCTCTTTCTCTATTTCTTGTTATTTTTATTTTTGTCTTCGTTCTATTCCATTCTTCTAGTTTACTATGTTTCTTGTCGAGCGACGTTATCAATTTCATTATTTCAGCAGAATGGGTTGACTGGGGGTTATAGTCATCGTAGTAGTTTTCACGCTCGGGAAAAGTGAGTAAACGTTGGGTTGTTACCAACTAAACAGAGACATATAATACACGAACGGAAAATACTTGGGGTTAATTTTTTTATTATTATTTTTTACTTACTCATTTTTCTTCTGTTTTTATTAAACTTTCACGGATAATAATCATGTATGAATAATAATAAAGAAAAAAGAAAAAACACGACAATTATGTCAAGAGCATCAGACAAAAACCCCCTCTTCACCATTCTCGTCGAAGAATCAAGATGAGACAGAGGGGTAGGGGAGACAAGAGTAAATATTATTCTCGTTTCGTTGGATAATCAACGAGACGAGTTTTATACCGTACACAAGCTCCAGAATTTAAATTGTCATTTGTGTCTGACGAAAGATAATATCGCTAAATATCTTTGACGAAGTTATGCGTGCTTTTTTTCGAGAACTCATCTTCCTATCTTTCGGTCAAACAAATAAAAACATAAAACATTCATTTTTTATTATTTTTTGTTTGTTTGCTTTTTTTTTTCTACGAATACCTTTTTTCAATACGTTCACGTATTTTCATCATACGAAAATGATAATTCGAAGAAGATAGAAAATGAATTTCTACGAAAAGTATTTTACTCTTTCTTTTACGATTATTTTATTTTCATTTACTTTGCCAAGTTTTAATATTAGAATGAACGAAAAGTTGTTCGAGTAATTTTATTATTTCATGAATAGTACCTATGCAATTTTGTTTTGAAGTCAATAAAATTACTTTCGAGTTGAAATATTAATTTAATATAAACTGTTCACGTACTTTTGGTTTAACTATTCTTATCGATTTTAAAATAAAATTTTTTTTTCGTTTAGTTTACTGAATAATTCAATCTGATTGTTTAACGTTTCTAAAAATAACGTTAAGTGTTCTGTACTATTTTATTCGTTACCGTAATACAGTATAATTGAAGGAATCGTAAAATTGTTTAAAAGGGAGACGGGTATTGTACGGATACGTTAATTTACCAAAGTTTATGCAGTGGAAAATCAAGAAAAGGGAATGCTATTCGATCGAGTTAAACATCTGAAACGAAATCGTTCAAAATTCTTGTTAGTTATCTGACGAGTTGAATTGACTAACCCCGTTCCGTTTTGACTTACCGTATCGAATTTAACGATCCTTTTTTATTTTTTTTATTTTTATTTTACATTCCTTTTTTATAACTTGTGTCTTGTCGGGTCAGAATGCTCGTAAAATTGATTGCCATTTAATTAATTCCTCGTTAGCGTTGTCCCTTATAATCCTTATAATTGCAATTTCTCTCTAATAATTCCCCTTTTATTATCATTGTTTGCCAGACGAATTGTCTTCGTACGAATTAAACATTTTTTCTGTTATTTTTTTACTTCTTCTATAAATGCCCTTGTTAACGAATAATCATGTCGCACTGAAATGAACTGGTTGATAGTAATTGGTTTCACTGTACTTGGATTGCGGAATTAGTTAGGTATGGAGTAAAACTCATGTATATATATATACAAGTATTCCTACATAGAAACACGATTTTCTATCTATGTATAACTATATGTTTAACGTACATAGATATACTTGCACAAAAATACAAATACCTATACTCATACATACACACGACAGATTCACGTGTTCTAAACCAGTAAATGCGTGGCAATAAACGTGACGTACGACGGACAATCGAACGAAAAGACAATTATACGTATATGTATACGTATACGAAACACATAAACGTTCGAATTCCATCGTTTATAAATTTATTTCACACACTTTTATAAAACCCCATTTCTTTTCTTTGTTGAAAGTTGTTAATAATATTGTAAATCTTCAATGTTCACACGTAAAAAAATTGAAGCAATCTTAGAAGTGGATTTAAATGAAATGGAATAATTAGTTTAAAAAAAAAAAACAACAAAATTTAATAACAATTAATTTGAAATATAAATTTTTCTATATTATTTATAATATTTATAAAATATCTCGTAGTTGTGGTGATAGTTGAATGCATTAGAAATATTAAAGAGTTAAAATAAAAACGAAATAAATGTATAATAATATTTGTAATTAACAGCAGAATAAAAATTTTGTTTATGACGTTTGAAAATTATGGTTGTTAACGAGTAAACAAATTTCTATATAATTTACAATTCTATGATTCATCTTGAACAAAATAACAGTCCTATATTTAAGAAATAAAAAAAAAAAGAAGTATAATAACGTTCTCGTAGGATGATGACGATAGTAAAAAAAAAAAAAAAAGAAAAGGAAAATAAAAGGGTGAAACATAACTGTAGGAATTTCTGTAAGCATTTCGAACGTGTCCCATGATATATATCCTCGTACTTAATCGTACTCCATCGACGTCGACGAGCACGTGCTTTGATCTCGTCTAGATACGGGCAATTAAACCGCGGCCATTGGCCGGTTATAGTCTGGACCGGAGCAAGCGGTCGTCGGTTGGACCGGAGCCGGAGCCCCCGACGACGACGACGACAACACACGACGAGAACTGAATTCTCTCTCTCTCTCTCTCTCTCTCTCTCGTACTATACTGTCGCCCCATCTATGACAACGAACGTTGGAATTGACGTAGTAGTATTGTGCGGAGCGTTGAATTGGTCCGACATAATTGCCATAATTGCTCGTTATGTTGAATCCCTCAGCGAACGTCGCGACGTGCCAACGCGTTCCTCGTGTGTATGCGTGTGTATGCGTATGTGTTTCGTTAACTTTCTTTTTTTCCTGTTTTTTGTTTTTTATTTTTTATTTTTTTTTTATGTGATGGAACATTGAAATAAATTAAGAAATATATTATTGTTTTATGTATTTTTTACCAATTGGAACAAAAAGAAATACAATTCTTTTTGTCCCATCATTTTGTGTGTGTTTCGTGAACTTTCCTTCATTTTTTTAATTTTTTATTTTATTTGCTTTATGTGATAGAACACTGAAATAAATTAAGAATGTTTTATATATTGTTTGATAATTGGAAATAAAAATTTTCTCTGCCCTCATCATTTCTTTTCTTTTATATTGTCTTTTCAATTTATATTCGAAAATGGTAATTAAATTTCATTCGACCACGAAAAAAAAACACACAAAAGATAAATTTATCCTTCGAAACTTTTCGACGAACTAATAATCGTCTCATCCCCCATTTTTCGCGACTACTAAGTTAACAAAGAATGGAAAAAGGTATAAGGACAAATAAAAGAAAGAGAAGAGTATGAAAGAGAGAGAGAGAGAGTGAACGAGTTAACGAAAAAAGGGGGAACGAAATTGCCATGTAAAAGCGAACGTACCTGGGTTTCGTTCTACGGATAACGCGCGTGACTTCGACTACGCACGGGGATCTGCCTTTTGCGGCTAAATTCAATTTTAATAAAGCCCGCTCTTGGAAAGTGGATAGGCTAAAGTAAAAAGAGAAAAAAAAGAAAAAGAAGTTAGAAGGGCTTGGACAGAAAGAGAAAGAGAGAGAGAGAGAGAGAAAGAGTATGAGTGAAAGTCGATGTAGAAGTTAAAAAAAAAAAAAAAAAACAAAGAAGAAAAAAAGTAGAAGACTTGTTCTGACGAAGTAAAGAAAAGGGATCCTTTACGAGAGAGAGGGAACACACAATGGAACATCGAATCGTTTTGAAAGGCGTCGTCCTATCGTCGTCTAAACCGTGTCGGCCCTTTTCGAGCCATGCAAGCGCAGAAGCCCCAAAGAGTTTTGCGGCACCTTAGTCACGAGATAATTATATCGAGGCGACGGAATGGAATTCTTATAGAAAAACTTGTCCTCGAACCTATCGAAGAAGAATTCAAGCGTGCTATACTATAGCTAACTAACAACACATACCACTTCGTCGTCGTTTTGTTCTTTTTTTTCGGTTTTGAACACTTCGATATTTTTTGTATCTTTATTTAACCCTTTTATTCGTAATGTCGGATATATTCGGCATCAGCCAAGATTTTTTTTTTTCATACTTGCGAAAGAATTAAGAAAAATGTCTGACCATATGAGGATACTTTTTTTAAATCTTATACTACTTACAAAATGTCTGACCATTTGAGAATACTTTTATTTTCTTATACTACTTAAGAATGTCTGACCATATGAGAATACTTTTTGTTCTTATACTACTTAGAAAATTTTTAACCATACAAGGATATTGCAAATTATTTTGTATTCTGTGTCCATTGTTTATAAATATTTTTTTCACATTATTTTTGGTTCCATACGTTCCTCCTATTATTCTCGTTGATCGATCGGACGGAGGACATATATTTGTTTTTAAAACATTCATCACCCATTTTTTTGGGTGAATATTTTAATATTATAAGAGATCGTTCATGTCAATGTTGCTTTATTGCCTTTCAATATTTCATTCGATTTTTTTTTGTTTTTGTTTCGATTGAAATTGGTTCTCAATTTTTCATATATATATTTGTGTTTGTAAAAAGAGAGAGAGAGTTCGAATTTTCAATTTCCGGTTTAAAATTTTTAACATAACCTCTCATCGACGAAACTAAATTGTGGTATGGAAGGATGTAATTGGCAGAGATATTCACCATTGTGGTACCATCGTTTGTTACAGGATCGACATATGAAGGATGTGAGCAAGGATCCAGAGGTGGATTCGAGCCAAGATTATCGTCTCCTATTGGGTTACGAGAACAAGACGCACACTGTGCTACGTTTTAGCAGAAGATACGACACATGCGACTCTAGGGATCTGAAGATCACGGTAAGCGAAATGATTTATGAGCTATGCTGAACCTGACAAACATCCTTGGACGATGATAGAATGCGTCGTTCAGGACTCTTGTCACTTCAACAAATTTCTGATTGATTTTACCTTATTATTATTATTATTATTATTATTATTATTATTATTATTATTATTATTATTATTATTATTATTTGAACTTAAATCCATATACATTTAATTATGATAAAATTCGTTTTAATATTTTAATTAATTGGCATCGAATATAAATAATGCAATTTTGTTACTTACAATAACAAAATGTTGATCAAAGTAACATTCCATTGAAAGTTTTTCAAATAAACTAAAAAGAAAAGAAACACGTTAATTAAATATTCGATCCAATTAGAATGAGATTAAATGTGGTAACAATCTCCCTATATTAACATAGTCGTCGAAAAGTATCTAAAGTAGGAAAAGTCGTGGCGTTATCACAACTTTCCTTAACTCGGGATTTGATAACGTAGTAGTAGTAGGATGACCTACTTCTTTATTTCACCGGTAATTAACTCAGAAATAGATTGCACGATAGAGCCACCCACCTATTCGCTGGTGATAGTGGTGGTCGTAGTGTTCCGTTGAGGCTTAACTCGAAGAAAAGAGATTACAAGCGTGTTACGATTTGTTTAAGCCTGTACATCCTAAAATTTATTGCTAGCAAGGATAGGACACGAGAATACTCAAGGCTTGATGCTGGCTGTGCTGCTTCTGATAATACTCGGATCGATTCGTTTAGTTTCACACGTTTACTTCTTTTCTTTTCTTTTCACCTATACAAAAGTACTAAAAGTTTTAAGATAAGAATAAAAATAAAGAAAAAAAAAAAATAGGAATTTGAAACGTTAATCTTCCACGAAATGTAAAACGATAATTAAAGCTAAGGTAAAACAAAAAAAAAAGGTGTTTTAAATATTATACAAGATTTGTAATTAGCACAAAGTAATATCCAATGTCACCATACCGAAATTCTCTACTTCTTAACAATGTTCAAGCCGTAGGGGAAATAATCTTCCAATTTTCGTAGTTTCTCCTTGATGTTAATCATCGTTTCGTACCTACAACCTAATGATCGATAATACAAGCTTATTACAATACTTCATAGCAGTAAGCTGAAGAACGTTTTACTGAAGTATGCGTTGTTAACATTTTCCACGCCTATGCACCAGGAAACCGCGAGGTTTACGTTCTTCTCGTAATAGTTTCTCTTCCGAATATATTTACTGAACATAGTATATATATAAATATCTCATTAAATTGTTACTAGAACATTATTGTTTTCTATTTTTTATTTCATCGTTAGAATCGAGATCATTTATTTGTTACAAAATGAAAATATTTACCATGACTTAATCAAATCAGCCCACCTGTATACTCACGAACGCCATGTATGCGATACACCTTACGTAAATACTCGATGATATATGCATACTAAGGTTCAAATATTGGTAGCTGATCACAAAGTTGAAGTAATACTTACACAGATTTCTGAAACCTATGCTGCTGACGTTTCAAATATTCCTGGTTTTCATTTCATGTAGATTCTATTCTTATAGGGAAAAGGAAAAAAAATTCTAGGACTAGTATCTTTTATTTCTTAACAATCATGCACTCTTCTATTCTTTGTTGAAAAGTAGATGATTGAACAAATCAAAAAAGAAATGTATATATAAAAATAAATAAAAGAAATACCTAATCGCGAACTATATAAAACGTGACGTCGATCACGATAGAGAATTTCTAACAAAGAAACTGCATGTCCTGCAAGTACCATGATCTCTTTCTTTATATCTTCCTTTTATCTATCTATCTATCTATCTATCTTTTTCTTTTCCTTTGGTCTATCCCGCACAACAGGGGAGAATGTCCATCTAACTGTTAAGTCATCAAAATACTTTCCAGCAAAACTAGAATGAGTCCGAGGATATTATTCTATTGAAAAGAGAAACGAAGAACGACCGAGTCAGCTATGTTATTTTCATTCCTTTCTTTTCTTGCTTAAAAATTTTTCTTATATACTTATCTCTTTTTCTTCTCTTCATTTTATTTATATATATATACGTGGTTCTCAGTCTTGTTGATGTATCGTTTTGCTACGTGTACATCATATTTCCACGTGTCGTATCTTCGTGTTTTTCGTTGAAGTATCTGAGATTGGTTAGGTTCGTGAAAAGATTGAGATACGTATTATTAATCTTTTTCTTTTTTCTTTTGTTTTAATATCAAAATACAAAAAGAAAAACAAATATTTAATATATATTCTTGGAACGAACGATAAATTAAATTTTCAATCTAAAAATATTCTCGCGTCGATTTTTCATATAAATTATTTTTATAATAATTTTATATATATTATATTTATATAAATTATTACGTATTAAACTCTTAAAATATATAGTAAACTTTATAATTATAAAATATATTTTAAACTTTAAACAAATATAATCCTATATAATATTTAAATAATAATTTAATTAATACCAATGAGATATTTTTCTTTCAAATTGGAAACAATGCTTCGAGAAAGTTTGTTCAAACGTTCTTGCGTTGGTGGAAAATTCGTCAACCCATCGGGGGATATATATCTGTTGTCAGAGACGCTACGTGAGCGTTGGGAATCGAACTACACTTATACCATCATACATTTCTCGAATCCATTGTTATTCGTATAACGTCGGTCGGTAGTGGATTAATTGAATGAACATCAAATTAAGCAACGTTCTGTCGTAACCGGCTTACGTTAGTGTTGAAAGGGTTAGATTGTGTGTAGTATGGTGTGAGAGTAGTAGTAAATGGAGAAGGAGAAGGAGAAAAGGGTAGGGGGGTTTGCAACGTTTCGATCGAGTATTAATATTACTCTGCTTCCTCCTACGACTTGTCTCTTTGTTTTAGTATGCAGACAGTTTCATCAGTGTGACGTGAAATTAAGCTCAGCTATGCCATAGATGACACGAGTACTATAATATCGTCTTATACGAAACGTTCCTATTTCTCTGACTATGTCTATCTGTTTCTTTCTCTCTCTCTCTCTCTCTCTCTCTCTCTCTCTCTCTCTTTCTCTCTTTTTATTCCTTTCTAAATAACACACATATATACATAATATTTCTTCGTTACTTAGGATAATTAATCTTCCAGCTTTTTCTTTCCTATTTTCCTACGTTTCCTTTATTTTGTATCCCGTTAATTAATACGATTCAATACAACACAGTCAAAGTATAGTAAACGTAAAAGCAAATAATTGTTGTTAAGATTTCAACAAAGAAATTGTTTTTCTCTCTTGATATTTTACGTATAACGGAATATTCATATATACTTGTGTGTGTTGTGTGTGTGTGTGTGTCGTTTTTGTTTTATTTTGAAATGAAAATCGATAAAACAATTGTGAAAAAAGATTGAATATTATCCCAAGCTAGGAGATTATAAACGTTTGACGTATGGAATATTAAATGAGAATTGGTAAGCGAGAAAAATGAAAGGGAGAAGAAAAGTTGTACGTAAAAAAAGAAAAAAGAAAAAAAAAGAATAAAAAAGGAAAAATGAAGAAGAAAACGCACAGGTGGATAGTGTCGGTAGCTGGCACAATCATCACGTGCTCGTTTTCTCACAGAATGAAAATAAAGTTGAGGAATACTTGGAAATTACGATAAAAATACTTCAATTGGTGGGAATAAAAATAATAATATTTATAATATATATTTCTAAATATTTGCAGAAAGTCAATGGATCCTACGTTATTATTTATTAATTATAATGAAACATTATTATTATTATTCTTATTATTATTGTTAATTGGCATTAGGAACTCGAAAGCTCATTGACGCAAATACTAAATTTCGCCAGTATAATTAAAAATAAATATCAAATATAACTGATGTTAAAAAATAAAATAACAAAATTGTAAAAGAAAACCCTACCAAAGATATTTGAATGTATAAATGAAGAACGAAACGATGTTAAGGATTTTGACGAAAGCCAGAAAAGTTTGAACCTAGGCTGAGGAGAAGTAGGTAGTAGGGGTTAGGATAGGTCATGTTTAAAGGAAATTCCCTTGCGAGATAGAAGAAGGTACTACTTTCTAGTGTTTCGCAATTCCTAAATTCGAAAGAAGAATTTCTCGATAGGTATATAACAAGACTAACTCTCATCTTTTCTCAGCCTCTCTCAATTTTTTTTTCCTTCCACTTGTATACAACAACCGTACCAAAGAATGTCCATTCCGATAGATGCCCAAGAATAGCCGTTTATTATCAAGAAGAGGAGTAGGAGGAGGAGTAAAGGTAGGAGAAGCCTGTTCGAAGTCCTTTTTTCACGTTGAATCCTCTTGAGTGCAGTGTCGATCGGACAGGTGAAGAAGAGGCAGCTCTGCGAAGAGAGGAGTGGTATAGTAAGGGATGGGGGGTTTGGTGAGAGGTTCGTAAGCTTCCGTGCACATCGAAGAGGACGATGTTTCTGGAAAAAGGGATGGCTATGATGAAAGTGGGACTGAAAGCTCCCTCTCTCTCTCTCTATCTATGAAAGGAGCAAAAGAGAGAGTAGGATATAATATATATATATATATATATGTGTGTGTGTGTGTATGTGTATGCATGTTAGAGGAAAACTCAGCTAGGTAGATCGGTTCCTACCTTGCGAACGGAATTGGCTGGCTGACCCGTTTCCGCGTTTCTATTCTGGCTTCTATTCTGCCTTCTATTCGCGGCCGTATCTAGTTTACCACTTTGGACAGTCGGAAGGTCTCTCTCTCTCTCTCTCTCTTTCTCTCTCTCTCTCTTTCTGTTTCTCTCTTTCTCTTTATTCCGGATAGCGGAACCGATCACTATTCCAAATAGACGCTTGGATGTAAAAGGAAAATCGAATTTGACCGATGCTGGTTCCGAAAGAGAGAGAGAAAGAGAAAAGTATATATCGTGTATGTATGTGAGAGAAAAACGAAAAAGAAAGAAATAGAAAGAGAGAGAGAGAGAAGGAATGAGTGAGAGAGA